AAGTTAGCCAAGCGGTCATTAAGTGAATCTGGCTTCCCCATTTGCTTGTTAGAAGGTTGCAATAGGAGATCACGTCATAAGTATGAGTCCGTTGCCAAAAGCGTCTGAATTTTCATCACGGGACCACGGAGTTCCTACAAAGGGTCGTAAGTGTGAAAAGTGGCCCTAAGTTACTTTTTCCAGTGCTGGGGGAAACTTGGAAATGGTCACTAAATTAAGGCTGTCATAAGTCAAGGACTCGTTGTATATTCCAGCATTTTTGGGGGGGGGCTTCCCCAAAGAAGAGGGGATTGGTCAATTTATTTTCCAAGGCAGGATAAGAAACGATGGATGGAAACTAACCAAGGAGAGAAGCAACGTGGAATTAAGGAGAAACTTCCTGGCAGGGAGGAAATATTAACCCGGGGAACTGCTTGCCACCAGAAGTCGTGGGTGCGAATTCTGATCACGTGACCGTGGGGATACTAGGAAATGTGCAGAAAATACTAGAAGGTGCAGGAATGAATTGAGTAACATTAGCTATTAAGGAGAAAGAACGAACTGGTTATTCCTTGATACGGGGAGAGTTTTACCCAATGGTTAGAGAATTAAAAAAAGGAAAATTTGAAATAAAAGGAAAGGTAAAAAAAAAAGGTTAGAAGAACAGAAAATGTATTAAGATAAAAATGAGAGTAAAATGACAATTGTTACTCTTACTTAACGATGAGAATAATTATGTTTAATGTTGTTATGGTATTTCTATGAATGAAACATATTAATGAAGGAAAGGAAGAGTATTATAATGTTTAATAGTTCGATGTATTATAATGTATGGAAGGATATTGCACAGAAATATTTGTCTTTTAATAGATTTTTATTCTTTTCCCCCCCATCTATAACAACTTTCAATCATCGCATTAACATTCGTGTGTCATCATACCTATATATATATCGATCGTATATCGTTTCTATATTTATACCCATTGATTTAGAAGTTCTATACATTTCTCTATTGTTTCTTGGCTAAATTAACTTTATTTCTGTTATACAGCCATTCATGCCAATTATCCCAAATTTCATAGCAGTCAGACTCTCCCTTTAATCTTAATGTTAATTTATCCATTCCTGGCTTGTTGACTACAGCCAAAAATAACGTTTGCTAAATAATGTTGGAAAACAGAGTAATATTCCCCCAGATGAATGAGGGATTCAGAAAATCCGACATTGCACAGAAATATTTGGACTCAAATATTGAGGAAAGATGGAATGTTTATATTTAAAATTTGGAAAAGTGAGCATAAAACACTTTAAAAAAACAGGCGTGAAAAATGGCCATGATTAACTTTTTCCCACCGTTGTCGTAACGTCAAACGGTCGCTAAATTTCCCGTGGTAAATCTAACAGGACCTATTTATTTTATTTCCTTAAATGGTATTTATTTGAGGTCGCAAACGAAGGCGAGATACGCAGACCGACATAACTCTCTCTCTCTCTTAAAACTTGCAAACATTTCAAACCAAGATAGTTTGAAGAACTGTGCCAGAATGGCGTGCAAATAAATTCGCTAATCCGATCAAGGTCTTAACAAATTCTTGCCGGATTTTGAAAAGGACGTAATCCTCAGATTTCAGAAAGAGATGCGAAGGAGGTAGAAAAAGGGGGGAAAAAATTGGTCGGCTGCTTAAAGTCCCTTAGAAACCTTGCCATAAATTTAAAGATCTGTGGCATCGATGCGGGAAATCCTCGCATTTACGACTATTTGTTCTAAAAAAAAAAAAAGTGACATATCCTCGCGGTTACGGCCGTTGCCGCCACATGATCAAAATTGGAAAGCGGTATGTAATTACGACGGTTGCAACTTCCCGGGGTCAGGCGATCCACTTTTGCGGCCTTCTGAGATGGGGAAGCCAGATTCACTTAACGACGGGAGCAGTTTGCTTAACCGTCACGCGAATCCCCAAAGCGCCACTCAGCAAACGATGGTGGTCATAAGTTAGAGGACTAACTGCACGCCGCATTCTGGATCGATCAACCGTCCAGCGAGGAAGATGACGGCCATAAGATAGGAAAATTATAGAGGGTTGCTATTTTTTTTTTTTTTGACAATTGCAAAATATTTTTAAAAGCAAACTGCAGAATTGGCTGAAATAATTTTTGCAGTTCTGCTTCTCCTTTTTCTCCTTTTGGCGAGCGAAAAAAGGATGAAACGTTTTCTTTGAAAAGCTGCTTAGCATTTTGGGGTGGGAAGCTTGTTTTAACACCGCCGCCCCCAAATTCTGAATTTTTATTTTGTTTATCGAGGTTTGGCTTCCCGTCTCCCCCGTCAAGAGCGAAAACCAGGCGACCGTTTCCCCCCCAATTAATTCTGCAAAGAATATGTAAATACAACAACGGATAGAGTGGATGGAGGGAGGAGTAAGTAGAAGGAAAGATAGGAAGGAGAGGAGAAAGGAGAGGAATAGGAGAAAGGGAAAGGCAGAGGAAGAATGGGA